GGCGGGGGAAGGGAGAGCGCGGGGCCCGCGCGGGAGCCCCTGCCCGCGGCGCTGGTGGCGCCCGTCGGGAGCAGAGCTCGGTGCGGTGGCGTTTGCTGTGGACTTTGGTTTTCGGTGAAGATAAGTAGCTGTACTTCCTGGAGGACAACTGCTAGCTCTTTAGCATTTGGCAGATTGTTTCAGCCTGTTCAGGTGATAAAGGCACGTAGGATGACATGAAATTAATTTCATTTCCTGATAACACAGCTATGGTTATGCAAACTTTATTTTTTTCATTGAGTGTCTGATAAAAGTTACAGTACTTAGTATGTAAGATCATTATTTTATTTCTGTTCCTTTCTGCCTGCACTCCTGGCATTTAGAAACAAGTGCTCTGGGTAGTTGATTTGTTTCTGGGATTGGGAAGCGTATGGAGTGTGCGGATCATCTCGCTCAGTGATCTGACCTGCCTCACTTCGCACACAATATTTCCCTGACCATGTGGCAGCCTGCGCTTTAATCCTGGGAATTATATCCGAGTTGGATGAATAGGCTAGAGATTATGAGATACTCATAATCTAGGTTTCAGTTATCTTCTCTTGCAAGAAAACAAAAATCAAAAGAATGAAAACCCTTTAGAAAGACAAAAGTGGGTCTCAGCTTGTCTTTTCTCCATGCAAAATGTTCAAAATTTGCTAACTTAATTTCAGTAAACCAACTAGGAATTCAACAGCAGTGCAAGAATTATAAAGTTGCTTCTATACCTAAAAACGAAACAGATGAAGGCTGCCAATATTTCAGGAATTTTAAGGAAAATGCTTGGGGACTTAGGTGCTAATAATGCATGGCTTTCAGCTACAGCTTTCTGACTGTTGTTTTACATGTTCCAGAGATGCTGAAGATAAACATAAGCTTATAACGAGGACAGAAGCAAAAGAAGAGTATCTCCTTAAAGACTGTGACTTAGACAAGAGAGAACCAGTGCTCAGATATATTCTGAAGAAAAACCCTCATAATTCACGGTGGGGTGACATGAAACTTTATTTGAAACTACAGGTATAGAAACTGTTAGCATTTTTAAGACCCTCCTTTTTACCTTCTGTGACTTCGGTCGTGTAGCATTTTGGTTCTGAATCACTGGGACAAAGCTAAAAGGACATTGCCCTTTTACCACAGCAAGCTTGTAGTTGCTACTGCTTGTACAAATAGTCATGGTAAAAGTATCTACGGGCAGCTTGTGAAAGTGTCCCTGTTTGTTTGAGAGTGTCTTACAGACTCGTGCAGCCTGCAATCTCAGTGGGTCCCCCTTGTTTGCTCGTGAAGTGGGCGCCGCAGCTGCTGCTGCTCGCGGCCCTCCTGTTGTGGCTCCGGGCCTCGTGTCCCCTGCCCGGCTCTCACAGAAAGGGCAGCGAGATTCTCCCGCTCTTGTGGGAACGTGCCTTAAGAATTCGAATGCGCACAAAAATAAGAGTTTGCTTTTATGAGTAAATCATATCTAGCTGATGAAAAACCAGTTTTTAAAAAGTGATCTTTTGCTGTGGAAGGAACATTATTGTTTGCAGGCTGAGAGCAAAGAGGCAGAGATGGGAGGCAGAGGCAAGATTCTTGGTAGGGTTGATTTGTTTTGTATATGTGTGGGGAAAAGCTAAACGTGCGAGTTTCAGTATTTTATCACTAAAACGTGTTTTATCATCAGGGAAGAAATACATGTTTATCCATCCTGCAGGTCATCAAGCGTTCTCTGGAAGTCTGGGGTAGCGAAGAGTCTTTGCAAGAAGCAAAGGAGCTGCGCCGCGACAACAGAGAGAAGATGAAGCAGAAGAAGTTTGATAAGAAAGTTAAAGGTAACCTGTTTAACTAACTTCCACGTTGCAGTATGTAAAACAGCAGCCGCCTCTGCTCGGGCTTGTTTCTGCGTCCGATTAACGCGGCTGGAAAACAAGTTTGCAGCGTGGCAAGATGGAGGTTTCCCAGAGCTGCCTGGTAAAGCCGGGAGCAGCCTGGCCTGACCTCACAGCTGACCCAGTTTGAGCAGGGGGGGGTTGGACTAGAGAGCAGAGGTCTCTTCCGGACTGAATTTATCCTATTATCCTATGCAAATCATGTAAGCAACAGAAATGAATTATGACGTGCTTTTTTTTAATTATTATTGTAACTCCTTGTATGACCCAGAATGTACCATAACTTGCCTCTCGTAGTTAGTCTTCTGGACTTAAGGAGAACGTGCATTTTGTGAGAGTGTTACCAGTCTCACGCATGCAGCTGCTTAGGTGGGAATCACTGTAAAGGAAGGTAGAAAATGGCTTTTCCCAACATGATGTTAAGAATCTTCCCTGCTGCTGTTTTTATTGGCCATTACCTTTGTTTTTTTAGGGAGGTAACTAAATTAAAGCTTAGGGGAGTATTTACTGGGTAGAACTCTAAAGAAAGACTTCCAGCACACACTACTCACTTAAAAAATGTTGTGATTTTGTTTTGCTCCAAGAACTGTGTGTGTGTTGAGCCCAGGTTTTCAGTCCCAGAGCCAAAGGCCCCAGCTGGATGGAACAATTTTGTGTGGCAGGACCTGGGGCTGAGCCAGTCTGGGCGGTCACCCCGGTGGGTGCTTGTGCACCAGGGTCCGCCTGGGTCACTGCAGAGCTGGCCAAGCGCAGCACAGGCCTCAACAGGACCAGGCATTCCCAGCGGGAATGATGCGGCTGGAAGTGCTGCACCCTCCTGTTCATTTGCATGCTCGACGCCTGTCTGTGGGTTCTGGAAAAACGTGCCTGTCTGGTGCAACTTCTCTGCAGTGCTGGGGTGGTAACTCACAGGGCTGGGCGTGAGGCTCGCCAGGGTTTGCCTTGAGTCCTGCCAGAGCCACACGCTGACATGAAGGAAAAACCTTTCCTTGCTTGCTTTTTTTACACAATCAAGTGTTTTTTTTTTTTTTTTTTTTTTTTTTTTTTTTTTTACAATGCTTTGGTCCAGGTTTTCCTCCTAATTCCAGCTGGTGCTTGTGAGATACCTCTGAGTGACATTCCTTGAGCAGGCAGTAGGCACCTCCTACTTATTTCAGATGAGTTTTTTTTTTTTTTTTTTCCTGTGCTGTGTCATGTCAGTGAATTTCCCGTCAATTAAAACAATATGAACAAGGTGAAGTTAAGACTGCAAGGAAAATCAAAATGTATTCTTGGAACAGTGGCTCCTTCTTGTAAACTTACAGAGGATGAGCAGTAACTCTCATCTGATTCCCCACAAAGGTGATGGGCTTGGCTTTCAGCAACAGGCACTGCAAAATCATCAAAAAAACCCTTTTTTTAATGTTCCCCTTCAGAACTCCGACGTGCGGTGAGGAGCAGTTTGTGGAAGAAAGAAACTAGTATCCACGAGCATGATTATGGACCAGAAGAAAACATTGAAGAAGATATGTATAAAAAAATATGTACTATATGTGGCCATGAATTAACTTATGAGAAGATGTAGTATAATCATGTTCTTTCTTAAATTTCACTGTGTCTTTTTAATGATATTCTGTATTAAAGTCAAATAAACTCTGATGCTGAACAAACTGTTTCCAGATTGAATGCAACAGAAGAGTGTTCCTCAGCTGTAAGGAGCTTTGTACCTAAAAAAAAAAAATAAGCTTTGGCTCTTTAAATTGGATTTTAGGAAGATAGCATATGCCTTTTAAAGAAATTGCTGTGGCCTATAGGCGGAGCTGGCATCCTGCTATTCCACAGGATGATGAAATCGGGAGGTGAAGGGCTGAGCCGCCGCGTGGGGTGTGCTGCGGGAGGAGGAAGTCTCCATCTTGCCCCAGCCCCGAGAAGGTGTTGGCTGAGTCACCAGCACCCACCGCAGGCTGCCGGGCACCCCGTCCTGCTTTGAGGGGAGCTCGTCCTGGCACAGGGAACTGCCCCTGGCAAGGAAAGGCCTCTGAGTGCCCAGAACTCAGGTTAGCACCAGTTACCACGGCTGGAGGGGGTGAGCACGCTGTGAGCAAGGCTGGGACAAGGGCCCTTCGGGCACCTTCTCCCTGTGCCACAGCACAGGGGCCTTCACGCAGGCAGGGAAGGCAAGGTGACCTCCACGCACACCCATTAGTACAGAGGTGACTCCTCACGTACAGGAGAGACAAATACCTGTTTTTATTCTTGCCTCAGTCACTGGCTTTAGGAGAGTGGAATTAGTTTCCAGTTCAAGTTTTGTGGTGTTGCAAGCGCCGCTGCTCCTAGATAGAAACATGTTGTGACAAGTGGGTGATAAAAGCACCAGAGGAGCGCACCCAATCCCGCAGCCAGTGCCTGCAGGGATCGCAGCCGAGCCCCGCAGGCGCCGGGCGCA